CATCACCCTTGAAGTCTTGGTATTTATAACAGAAATATAACCGCAAAAAAAGTTACAACTATGGAGGCTCTTGCTGAGGTCTGTTGGCAAGGCATCTGGGACCATCCCTGGCTTGGAATGAAAAGTCCTGCACCTAAATAATCCTACTTCCCAAGCAGTGCTGAGCTCTCCTGTGAGGATCCAATCCATCAGGGCTCAAAACTGCTACAGAAGTCCTCTATAACCTCCAGCCGGAAAGGGGCCTCTGCCTCTTCAGACAGTCTGGCAGGTCATGGAAATTCTACTCTTGCAAAGGGAACTGTGGATACAAGAAGGGTATTTCTTCAGTATTTACTTTGACCAGTTAAATAGCTATGACAGATTTTTTTTTTCTTTTCCTCAAGACACAAAGTGACATTTTAAGGGATAAACCACTCTTTTGGTTCCATAGAGTCTTTAAAAAATACTATTAGAGGAAAAACTCGAAGGAATGTCCACTTCAGCACAGCTGCCCAAAGCTTCATATTTCAAGAATTCAGCTACTCAATGCAGACAGGGAAACAGGACTGCTCATGTTGACTTCTTCTCCACTGGATCTGTTTCTATGTACTCAGCACCAGATTCTAAACTAGTGACATCCTTTTGGTTCAAGGGCCCTTTTTGCCCGTCTTGCTGTTAAATGCATGCTACGTAGTAGCATTTCTTCTTTTTTTCACATGTATGCTCTGTTTTCCCCACCAGATCATGAGCTTTTTAAGGTCAGGGGCCACATCTTGTACTCCTTTACTTCTTGCAGAGTTGTTTGTCATGGTAAACCTACAGGAAATCACTGTGGAATGGATGAATGAGTGAGTGAAAGAATGACACAAACTGGAGAGCAGTGGTAGGTGAGTTGCTAGGCAGCCTGGGAAAGAGGATTACAGGAGTCAGGTCAGATTAGCAGGAAGGGTGGTGTAGGGGAAAGAATGCTGCATTTTGAGCCAGCAGACATGGGTCCTGGTCCCGGGCTGATTTACTTGTCTTCACTTATTCAACAAACATTTCTTAAACTTCTAATGGGCGAGGCAGGCATTGTGACGGGCACTGAATCAGATAAAATCCCTGTCCTCGATGTGTGGTAGTGTTGGTGGTGGGGGACATGTGGAGATCAGGATGGTAGGAGATGCGTGGGATAGGAGACATGGCAAGCACGGGGCTCATGGAAGCAAGGAGAAGGGGCTTCTAAATCAGACTGTGGTTTCCAGGAAAGCTTGGCAGACCTAAAAGGAAGAAGCCGCAGCACAAAATGTAATTTAAAGAGTTTACTTGAGCCAAAGTGAGGACAGCTGCCCGGAAGACTCAGACCCAAGTGACTGGATATGAGCTTTGGCCTTTATCACATGCAAGTTTTTAAAAGCAAAAAAGAGGCTGGGCACAGTGGCTCATGCCTGTAATCCCACCACTTTAGGAGGCTGAGGAGGGCAGATTGCTTGCGCCCAGAAGTTTGAGACCAGCATGGGCAAACATGCCCGGGAGTTCGAGACCAGCATGGGCAAACATGCCCGGGAGTTCGAGACCAGCATGGGCAACATAGTGAAACTTCGTCTCTACAAAAGAATAAAAAAATTAGCCGAGCGTGATGGCACATGCCTGTAGTCCCAGCTACTTGGGAGGCTAAGGTGGAAAGATTGCCTGAGCCCAAGAGGTTGAGGCTGCCATGAGTCGTGATCATCGTCATCATATTACTGAACTACAGCCTGGGTGACAGAGACCCAAACTCAGTCAATCAATCAATGAAGGCAATAAAGGGGAACAGAGAGAGCTGATACGTTGTTTGTCAGGAATTCATTGGTTTACAGAGCAGCATTTTTAGTTTAACTTGTAGCTTTTTGTGGCAATAGCAAGCAGTTTCAAGAGACGAACATATAGCTCAGGGGGGGCGTAGGACATGATTGCTGTCTCATTTTAATATCTCTCTGGGCCTGATCATTTAAAAGGACTTGCATTCTTCAAATAAAAGTTCTTTTCTTTTCTGAACTTCCTGAAGGAGAAGAATTTTGAAGCAAATCTTTAAGGATGAGTAGGTTGGCTTGGGATTCACTGAGAAATCTCACTGTAGGTAAAAGGACTTGCATGTAAGAATGTTCTTTGTAATTCCAGCACTTTGGGAGGTGGAGGTGAGAGGATTGCCTGAGCTCAGGGATTTGAGACCAGGCTGGACAACTTGGTGAGATCTTGTCTCTACAATATATCAAAAATTAGCTGGGCATGGTGGCACACACCTATGGTTCCCGCTTCTTGGAAGGTTGAGGCAGAAGGATTGCCTGAGCCCAGCCAGTCGAGGATGCGGTGGCCGTGAGCATGCCATTGCACTCTAGCCTGAGCAACAGAGTGAGACTCCTACTCAAAAAAAAAAAGTTCTAAATGATAAAATAGGATGGTGTATTTGAGAACTATAGTTTCAGCTGAAGGGTGGCTGGAGAGGAAGCTAGAGATATAAGCTAGGGCTACTCTCCAAAGGGCTTTGCTAATATAATTTAGTGGTAAGGAGCAGAGGTTTAGAGAGCAGACAGAACTGGGTTAAAATCTTAGCTCTGGTACTTACTAGCTATATGATTACTGTTTGTTGTTGTTTTTTTTTTAACTCCTGTAATCTTTAGTTTCCTTAACACAGCATCTGGCTGTATCAGTTATCTATTGCTGCATAACAAATTATCCCCAAGCAGAATAGCTTAAAACAACACACATGAACAATTCTCACAGTTTCTGTGCATTTGGAATCTGCACCCTGGTTTAGCTGGGTCCTCTGTTTCAGGATCTCTCACAAGGCTGCAAAGTGTCAGCTAGGGTTGAAGTATCATCTCAGGACTCGACTGGCGAAGGATCTGCTTCCAAGCTCACATGCGTGGTGGTTGGCAAAATTTAGTTCCTTGCTGGGAGTTGGCCAGAGGCTGCCCTTAGTTTCCTGCTGTGAACCTCCCAACCTCACACCTTTCTTCATCAAAGTCAGTGACAGAGAGTCTGCCAGCAAGACAAAGTCACAATCTTATTTAGCCTCATGCCATTACTACGGCCACACACTGTTTGTTAGAAGTCATAAGGCCAGTCCACTCTTCTGGGCAGGAGGATTGTACAGAAGAGTGAACGCCAGGGGCCACCACAGAGTCTGCCTGCTCCAATAACTTAGAGCTTAGTAACACGAAGTCAATGTTAGTTATCATTATTGGGCTGAATTGAGAGATTAGAGAAAACCACAGGGGACCAGTGAAAGATTTTCTATTAGAAAGTAACTTGAGGTGACTTTGGACAAGTCAAGTCACCTAATGTCTTTGAGCCTTCATTTCATTCTCAGTAAAATGAAAATACCTGACCCTGGAAGAATGAGAAAATATAGGTGCAGGCATAAAAACATTTTTATTTTTTATTGTTGTATTTTATTTTGGTAACAGCAAATATACAACTCCCCATATTCTGAGGAAGCAGACTGTTCATGGGCCAGTTTTCCATTTGGTGTTTACTCTGTGAGTCTCACAGCCTGGTGTCTTCAAGGTTTTTAGCGTTTGGTCCAGTGGGCCCACAGGGATTTATGAAACTGGAATAAACACCTACAAAGAGAAACCAGTCTTTGGAGACTACCTTAAGGCATTGCCAAGAGTTTGCTTTTTTTCCTTTTTTAAATACCTTTGCTTCTAAGGACCCTATAGGGGGCCTGGAGGAGAAAACAGACTAACTGGGAAATTTCAAGTTCTTGATAATAAAAATGGTAATAAAATCTCCTCCGGCTCCTGAGGCTTCCCAGAGGGGATATTTATGGTGGATGGGGCTCCCCCACTCTCCTGCGCTGCTGGTCTGGAGGCTGTGCGGTTTCCAGTCCCGCAGAGCAGCTCAGGTTACCGCCTCGGTGGCTGCGGGTGAGGGCGGCTCTCGCTGGGGTCTCCACAACCCGGGAGCCTCGCCCCTTTTTGCTTATGCCCAAACGAGGTGTCTCACCCTGTGCCCCAAACGGAGCGGATCACCCATGGTCGCGTTTGTCACCGGGAGTCGCTTTAGGTAACCCCAGGCAAGTCAAGCCACCAAATGGTCTTCCCTGGAGCGGTTTTCCCTGGGAAAGTTATCATCAGAAGGCGTCCCAGGCCTTCGGGAAGGGGACGGAATCAGGAGTCGGCACCTCGCTGTGTCAAAGGCGCGCTTCTGCTCGGGGCGTCGCTGGGGTGGAGCGCAGCGGCCGCGGAGATGACGACAAAGACCCTTGGCTTCTCGGCCCGAGGGCTTGGCCTCAGGGCGAGGGGCG